CCCTCTCTGCTGTGCCACATGCCACACACACAGGCTGCCTGTACTACTTGTGGTATGCATACTCCACGTTGGCCATCCCAATGTAAAACATCTAAAGTAGTCTTCTTCCCCTGTCAAATACAGAGCTGATAGTGAGACAGATATTCAAATAAAGCAATAGAAAAAATTGCTCTGTGAAATTGTTGGTTTCTGATTCTCTTCAACATCTAATAGGAGCTCCTGGCTTTTTCAACCAAAACTCCTAAATCCCTTTTGACATTCTTGATTATGACTTTCATTTTGGGTCTTTTATAGGAGGTACTATAAAGCCACATTTTACCTTCTGTGTTGTTGGGAGAACAACTTAAGTTCTCAAAATATACCAGCCATTTTACATACAAGTGGAAAAACATCTAGAAGTCTTTCTTTAAAAAAATATTCATCTACATCATCCACAGCAAGACCTTTACAGAGCTATTTTGGCTTTCATTTGTCTCCTCTATAAACCTGTGGCATAATAAGCACTGTCAGAAAGGTCATTACAGTGTAGTTGATCCTTTTAAGTGGGTGAAGGGCTAGCTTTACGTGTGTTCTGTGTTTACAGGTATAATTTTGAACCCTTATACTTTATTTAATTTGAGATAGAATTCAGTTTCCAGCTCTGTGGAGAACCCATGGAAGGCCCCCACCATTCTGCAGCACCTGAAGTGAAAAGAGGGCAGAAGTGTGAATTGATGGGGAGTAGCTAAACCTGGAGATTTCTCTGTAGAAACTCAGGACTAAAGGGGACTCTAGTGCCCCTGTTGTCACAATCCTGCTAGTATACACCTTTTCATAGCCTAGCCTGGTCAAACTATATCTAATAGTAGTTATGTCTTTGCCCCCACTATTTGTACCAGAGAAGTCCCCAAACCTATTTTCTCAGATGGTAAGAAAATTTGTTCCAGTGCCCAACCTTAGTTTATTCATGACCACTTTATACCCACTTGCTCTTATGCCAGTGTTATCTTTCATCTTCATGCCTCTTTTCCCTCCCTGTTTTTATCCTTTGATGTATTTATAGACTGACATTCCCTGTCAGTCTTCATTTTGCTAGACTAAACATCCAAGCTGTTTTAGTCTCCTCTTATAAGATAAGCTGTCTGTTCCCCTGATCATCTTAATAGTTGTTCTCTGCACCTGTTCCAGTTTTTGCAGCATTGACTCAAAAGAAATTCTAAGCTGCTACATTAAAAATCCCTGATTACCTTAGTCTAGTTAACATCACTGACTAGTTTCTTTAGTTTATCAAAGTTTGTCCTTTTAAAAATCAAGAATCTTATTTACAAACGCACATTTTCATTTTTCCTTGTTTTACTTAAGCTGAATTAACTGGTGATGATTCAATCCAGTGATATTTTCTGTGACCAGCTATTATATAAGGTTCTTACTACTTATTAAAGTTAAGTCCAAAATAGCATTGCCACTTTTTGCTTCAGTGACTGCTTGATGAGAAACCTCTCAGCTATTACAGAATACCTGGTTCCTACATTATTATTAGCATTTGTCCTCTTATCTTCATATCAAAAGTTAAAATCTCTCCTAATGACACAATTCCTGCTATTATTTATCACTCTAATAATATTACAGATTGCACTATCTAAATCGAGATAGTAGGAACCCATACAAATCCAGATCTGTAGCAGAGTCCCAGAACAATGCCAGTAGAATCTCTTTTACCATCCTTCCCAAAGTCATTTGACCCAAATCACATCCATTTTAATCCTTATTTCTCTGTAGTCCATCGTATCTTTAATATGGAATGCAGATCTACCAACTATCTTTATTTCTGTCACTTCTGAATAGCACGTGCTCCTCAGTAACTGTATTCTAGTCATGATTTCTGTTTCACCTTGTTTCTTTTTTCCCTATGATAGTAAAATTCATGTCCCACCAATTGTTCTAGATACCATGAAATATGGTTTCAATACTTGCCCTGAATAGGCCATTATGAGTGCGTCTACACATGATGCTACATTGCCATAGCAATGTTCCAGAGTGATGTAGCATCCATGGGTGTCTACATGTGACTAGCAGCTGCTTCACCATTGCACTGCTCTCCCCCTTTATAGTGTGCCACTACGGCAAACTAGCTGCTAAAAATAACTGTACTTCAAGTGTACAGAACAGTATGGCCAGTTACTGCACCATGCTTTAGTACTTCCAAAGAGAAGTACTAAAGTATGGTGCAGTAACAACACAGTAGCAACACAGTAACAATGTCGCCATAGAGCAACGTGTAGGTGCGCCCTGTGAGAGGTAGCACTTAACTAGATCAATGACTAGGAGCCCACTGAAGAGGGTACTAATGTTTCATCTCAAGGCCTGTATGATGCAGGCAAGCTCAGTTATCCATCCTAAAGTTAAAACACCTCCTGAGCATCCCATCAGAGAAAGGGTACACAAAGCAAGAGACTTTACTAGTTTAAACTCTTCCAAAAATCCTAGTCAGATGTTCTCAGCCTCAGCTGTTAACTGGTCTGACTCATTCTTCAATCTAAAGAGCAAGACTTGGGGGTCATGATTGACCACAAGATGAGCATAAGCCACGAATGCAATGCTGCAGTCAGCAAAACAAACAAAACTCTGGCTTGCATCTACCGATGCATCTCAAGCAAGACCCAGGAAGTCATCCTCCCACTTTACTCTGCCTTGGTGAGGCCACAGCTGGATTACTGTATCCAATTCTGGGCTCCGCAATTCAGAAAGGATGTGGAGAAACTTGAAAGAGAGCAGGCCTTAATAAGAGAGGCTGAGAGCCATGGGGCTCTTCAGCCTGAAAAAGCATAGGCAATGACATGGTGGCAGCCTATAAGGGCTGTGCATCAGGAGCTGGGAGAACGTCTGTTCACCAGGGCACCCCACAGGAAGACAAGGTCCAACAGTTACAAACTCCAGGAAGACCATTTTAGGCTAGACATAAGGAAAAACTTCTTTTCTGTCTGAGTCCCCAGGGCCTGGAATAGACTCCTCCCAGATGTGGTGCAAGCACCTACTCTGGATACTTTCAAAAAAACTCAGATGCCTATCTTGCTAGGATCATTTGACCCTGGCTGACTTCCTGCCCTTTGGGCAGGGGGCTGGACCCAATGATCTTGCAAGGTCCCTTCCAGCCCTAATGTCTATGAAATCTATGAAAGCCATAGACAAACATGCATTTGGGCACTCCAAATTCTGTTCAAATTTGGAATGCTTCAAGATGTAAGTGCTTCACTGCTATAGAGATGTGCAGCCTTCCCCTGTTCCCCTACAGCTTCAAAGTCATCAAAATGGTACTTTCCAGCCAGGGGGCATGATAGGAGGCTCCTCAGTCCTGCAGCATCCCACAGTGCTCTGACTATTCCTGTTGGAGGTTTTGGGGGTAAGAGTAGAGTGGGATGGACAGTCAATGAGCACTCTCTGGTGTGTTCAACTGTCTTTAGGAACTTCTCCTAGAAGCATGCAAGATGTGCCTGAGGGCTAGACAGAAGGATACCTTGCATGCTGCTTAGCCTCCAGAACTTCAGGAGGGTGCTAAGGAAACCTGAGTATGCAGGAGAGTGCTTACTGGCTGTCTGCCACTTTGTCCTTCCCTGCCAATGGTGGGGGAGTTAGCAGAGCATTGTGGGATACCAGAGGACCACTGGAATGTATAGAGGTTTCAGGAAGTGCTTCAAAAGGAAACATTTCAGGGAAGTTCCTTATTTATGAGAATCTTTTTTTAAGCATTTCTTTGACCATGCATGCCTGTACCCTCACTGTTTGGAGCACTTCAGAGGTGTTTGGAATGTTTCAAACAACACTTCCATCTAGGGCAGTGGTTCTCAACAGGGGTGCTGCAGCACACTGAGAGCCCATGAGACCTTTTTAGGGGTTCTGCAGCATGGGCATCACTGCTACTACGGTCACATGGGACTGCTTTGTGTACCTTGTGCACAGCCAGGTCAGGAAAGGCTGCAGCATGAGCATACACTCCTGCCTGCATTAGGGTTATTTATTAAATCTAAAGCAGGCAGGAGCACCTGGTCCTGCTGCAGCCATTTCCAGTCCAATCCTGCACAGTGTCTCCTAGAAACAGAGATGCACAGGATGGTTCCAACTCCCCTACATGCTTTTGTGTACAAGCGATGCTGTGTAGGGTCAGACCAGGAAAGGCTGTAGCAAGACCGGGTGCTCCTGCCTGTTTTAGTCTTACCAGATAACCTTAGCATAGGCAGGAACACAAGGTCATACCACAACCCTTCCTGATCTTGCTGTGCACAAGGCACAAGAGACAGTTCCACCTGGCTATGCTGGTGGCAGCAGCAAAACCCTGGCTGAGAACCACTGAGGTAGGTTTAGGCATAGGTGGTACAACAGTGATTTTCAGTTGAATCATTGAGGGGCGCCCTGAATCTAAAAAGGTTGAGAACCACTGGCCTAGGGCCTAAGTGGTTGTATTTATTACGTGGTATACATAAGTGTAGATTTTGCCCCTTCATGTTTAAATGTGTGCATTATATAATAAATTATTTACCAAGTATATGTTTGATGACAAGTGTTCATAAAATGGAACAATAGCTGTATTGACACAAATCCCAGAGGTCAATTAGAGTAAAGATTATTCTTTTGTATTTGAATAGAGATGCTTTTTGTAGTAAAGAATATTGCAGCACGTCTGTTTTACGCTAAAACAAACACTTAGGATACATGGCATCTTAAACAATCTTGGAAAAAATGGGTCAGTTGTATAAAAGTTTTTAAAAATGTCAAGGATTTATTTCTATGTAGTTACAATTTTGTGTATATTATTCTATGTGCTATATTTGAGTATCCAGCAGCTCCATTCTGCCACATTTTTTTGTGATGCCCAGGGTGAAACCTGTAATCTTGGCATGCACAAAGAATGAATATTCATCCCAAACTTCCTGCATAGGTTGTGCTGCAAGAAAAAGAAAATAGTAAGGTCTGCTGAGTTAAGACTTAGCTACCTAAAATCTTTTACTTATTTTTTTTTCTTCTAGAACAAGGATCCAAAAATGGCTCGAGTTGCACTGGAATCTCTGTACAGATTACTTTGGGTTTACATGATTAGAATTAAATGTGAAAGCAATACAGCTACCCAAAGGTAAGGTTCTGCAGTTGTAATTGAAACCAGGCCTCTGCTATGGATATTTCCAATGCAGAGGTCCAGTGCCTCCACTGAGTTCCCTTGACCTAGAAGTATTTCCAGTGTCAAATAAGGACACATCCAGATGAACACAATAACATTTTCTTTTGTGACATTAATAATTGCACTCCTGCTTTTTACAAGTACTGTACCAAGAGCTTATACTTTTGGAAGGACCAGAAAATAGACAGCAAGACTTTGCTTCTGCAAATAGTAGAAACTGGAAGAGCATGTGTCAGCATTTGGATTGTGGATCTTGTGGTGTAGTAACAAAATTATATTAATTCAGTCAAACTTATAAACAAAAAAAATAGAGAAAGTTTTCACTGTATCTTTTAATTTGGAAGAGTTTTCATACTGTGGGCTTTTTGAACAGGACCAAGATTTTGTAGGCACATTTTGTGATAATTAAACAAGAAGATTCACCATCATTCCTACAAGGAAGAGAACAGTGCCTGATGCTTGTTTTTTTCTTTTCTTTCAGTCGTCTTATTACTATTGTTACAACACTTTTCCCCAAAGGGTCCCGGGGTGTGGTGCCGAGGGATATGCCTCTAAACATCTTTGTGAAAATTATACAGTTCATTGCCCAGGTATGGAAAAGATCTGTGTTTCCAAATAATGAATAATTTATTTTCCTAGTAAATTATTAAAGGGAAATTAAACCTTGTATTATCTCACTTAATTCAGTCCCATTATTGATAAACTTCTTTTATGGTAAAGGAAGGAATGGTAAAATTGTGGGGTAAGCTGGGCAAAAATTTTCTGATTGGCACTTTTAATTTACTTTTCAATTCTTTGAAAAATTCTAAGATCATTTTCAGTTCAAATGATTTTTTTTGAATTTCCAGTGTACCAGAGACTCCATTGATCACTCATCTCTAATTGTTCACTAAGAACTAGAAATAACGTGGCGTATTTTGATATGACACTGGGATACATCAAATATTACACAGGGCAGTGGAGTTGCATTAGTGTAAAAACTTAAGTGAGAAGAGAATCTGAGAGTATGTGAGAGTATGTGATCTTAGGGCACCTATACATGTTCCAGACACATGTTCTGATGCATGCTAATTAAGTCCGCATGCTCCAACAGCCTTGGTATCTCATGTATTCAGCATCCCCATGCTTCAAAATGGTGAGGGGGTGCTCTAACTAAAGCTTGTTCAACAAACTTTAATTAAAGTGCCCCCACCATCATTTTGAAGCATAGGACACTGAATATATGAGATGCAACAGGCACTTTAACTAGAGCAGATCCCAAGGGGCACTCTAATTAAAGCTCCCTCCCCCACCCTGGAGCACATGTAAAGATGCCCGTGCCCCAGGCTCAGGGGCACATAATTTTCGTTAATACAAATGGGAGCTATGCACCTAAACTCCCTACTCATCAGTAGAAGCCTAGCTTCCTCTGTTGCTCCAATTCAGAGTAATGTCTCTGTTAAGCAAAGCACTTCAGCACATGTTTGTTGAATAGGAATGAATTTATGTGTAAATTCTTTGTTGAACTGGGACTTCTGTGCACAGATTCCTATTTTATAAAATAGCATGTTAATACAGTGATTGATCAAGTGAGCCTGAAATAATTAAAAGCCACATTTTAGAACTGTTCTTCTATTTAGATATGTACATTAAGCATACAGAATTTCAGAAGCATTTAATATCCAGAAACCTCCATTTTAGGTACCTTCAGAGTTGCTTGGCACCGTTCAAAATTTAAACCCAACATGGAATTAAGCATACTTTTGAAAATCTGGCCCTATATAAATTTAAATAAAACTGATTATATCCTGCTTCAAGGCTGCCATTGCCTTTGAGGAATTAAGAAGCAATAACTAGGTTTATATGATTTGTACATTTTTTTTTCGTCTTTAGGAGCGCTTAGATTTTGCAATGAAAGAAATTATCTTTGACTTCCTTTGTGTTGGAAAGCCAGCAAAAGCTTTCAGTCTCAATCCAGAGGTATGATGTATATCAACACTCTTACAGTTTTTGGTGTTATTGTATTATGGCTTATTCATTTTGTGTACATTTATAAGTATAGTTTTACTTCCATCCAGGGTTAATGGCAAAATCTTGGACCTGATGCACTGGCAAAGTAAATCTATGTACCTGTGTTATAATAAAATTAACAGAACTGTCACACTGTTGAACATTTGTCTAGTGTGTCTCCTGAGTGATGATTACCAAATGTCAAGTTGAGAAACAAGAATAAAATTGTGGACCACATTGGCTTATCATCGCTCTGCTTTTGTTATATTTAAGAACTAAAATAATTTTACTTATAAAAATTAAACACCCTGAACAATCCAAGCACATTTCAGAAATTAATTTGACTGAAATGGAGTAAATAATTAAAGTAAAAAAATCCAAGGAGCCTAAGAAATAGGTTAGCAAAAAAGAAAAATTACAAGCCAAAATAGGAAATGAAACATGCACAAGTGCAAATAGAAGTGTACCATGGTACCCACATAGAACTCCCCCCACCCCCCAGCTTCAGCCTGACTCTTTATGGACTTAAGGGTTAGTTTTTGCACTTTGCAGTAAATAGTTAGTGGCAAGGGCATAACAAGAAGAGATGCAGTGGTGTGGATGCATTTCCTCCTTTCAGGAGGGAGCAGCAGCCACGGACTTTTTTCTAAGTCCCTGAATCAGGTAAGAATTCTCCCCTCTCTTCCTTTCTGTGATCAGTTACACCTCTCCTCCCTACCATTCCCCTGCTACCTCTGTGCCTATATGTCCTGAGGTCAGAGGTGGGGGAAGGCTCCAGAGCCACTCCTACCCATTCCAGCCAAACTCCATGGCAAGGTTTATCAAAGAGGCCATCCTTAACAGACTAGCTGACAGCAATATCCTGGCGGATACACAGCACAGGTTTGTTGCGGGTAGGTCTTGCTTGACCAATCTCATTTCCTTTTACGACCATGTGACCTATCACCTGGACAAGGGGGAAGAGATTGATGTTGTATATCTTGACTTTAAAAAAGCCTTCGATCCGGTATCCCACGATCACCTCTTGGCAAAACTGGCTAACTGCGGCTCAACCTCACTGTGATCCACTGGCTGGGGAACTGGTTCCACGGTAAGACCCAGAGGGCGGTGGTTGATAGAAGCCAATCGTCTTGGTGCACAGTCACCAGTGGGGTCCCTCAAGGCTCTGTCCCAGGGCCTATACTGTTTAACATCTTCATCAATGATGTGGATATTGGGGTCAGAAGTCAGAAGTTTGCCGAGAGCACCAAACTCTGGGGTAAAGCATTCACACCTGAGGACAGGAGGGTGATCCAGGTAAATCTTGACAGGCTCATGCAATGGGCAGATGAGAACCTGATGGTGTTCAACACCGAAAAATACAAGGTTCTCCACCTTGGGAGGAAAAACCTGCAGCATGCTTATAGGCTCAGTAGTGCTAAGCTGGTTAGCACTACAGATGAAAGGGACTTGGGGATCATGATTGACCACAAGGTGAACATGGGCCTTCAATGTGATGCTTGAGAGAGTGAAGAGGAGAGCCATGCATGTGATCAGAGGTCAGAAAAATAGAGCTTACGAAGAGAGGCTGAGAGCCATGGGACTCTTCAGCCTAGAAAAGCGCAAGCTTAGGGGTGATCTGGTGCCACCTATAAGTTTAACAGAGGTGCTCATCAGGATCTGGGGGAACGTCTGTTCACCAGAGTGCCCCAAGGAATGACAAGATCAAACCGTCACAAACTCCCCCGCGACCAATTCAGGCTGGACATAAGAAAGAACTTTTTTACTGTCCAAGCCCCCAAGGTTTGGAATAGACTGCCACTGGAGGCACCTCGAGCACCCACTTTGAATGCCTTCAAGACACATTTGGATGCTTATCTTGCTGGGATCCTATGATCCCTGCTGACTTCCTGAGCATGGGGCAGGGGGATGGACTCAATGATTCTCCGGGGTCCCTTCCAGCCTAAATGTCTATGAAATCTATGAAGGTGGGCTCAGCTGGGGACAGAGGCAGCAATAGGTAGATTCCTCTTCCCTGCCTGATCCCCCCAGGTGTTCCCTTCCAGCCCTAGAGCAGGCACAGGGGAAGGCAACGCACTCACTGCCACCACAACTGCTGCTGCCTCTGGCCAAGCATGGCTCCACATGCAGCCCAATTATAATGGGGAAGGGGTGGCTCTGGAGAATCCTCTCACTCCCCCCCTGGGTCAGCTGGAGATAGTGGGGACACAAGCAGCAGTGGGCAGAGAAGGGGGAAATGTTGCAGAGGGGGAAGACAGGGGATGTGCCAATGTGCATGGAGAAGAAGAAAGGAAGGAGGAGGGAAGGAAGATTCTTACCTGATTGCAAGACTTAAAAAAGACCCTGGTTGCTACTCCCACAATGCAGTCTGCCTGCCCCAGGGCATGAGAGGGGGAAGTTGGAGGCAGGGGGTGCAGGAATTCCTGCAGCACTAGGTGTTGCTCCCACACCCTCCACCCCTTTACAAAATCCGCCTGTGGTCATAGGTAAAATGTATAAGCAGTATTGGAAGCAGGAGCCATAATGCAGGGCTCCTTCCTGAGGTTAGAGCTGTGGTTTTTGGGTGAGCAGATACTGAGTCTTAAACGTCTATTAGGATCTGGACATATATACTTTGGAATGCCCTTCCACAAAGTTGATGCCACTAAGGCCATAGTATCATGTTAGTACTGGAAGTGAGCTTTTTGCCCAGGTGCCTAAAGTATGTAGATCATTTAAGCTGCTCGGGAGTGGGAGAGGGTGTTTTCATTAGAATGGCTTCTGAACAGCCACTTTAATTAAAATAGCTCACTGTCATGTGCATTAAGCCCCTGTGTGTTTCAAAATGGCTGTGGGATGCTTTATCTATAGCTCATTCAACAAGGTTTAAATAAAGTGCCCCCATGGCCATTTTGAAATGCATGGCAGCTTAATACATGTGATGGTGAGGCAATGCTGGAACATTCTAATTAGAATGTGAACAAGCACATCTATAGGCACCTTTAGATTTTCCATGCAGATGTGTACAGTTTTGGCATGGAGTGCCTTTTCAAATTTCCTATAGAGCATGGTTAGCCTTCTGGTCTTCTGAGGAATTTACCTTTCTTTTTATGTGAGCACTGAAAGAAACAGTACTCAGCTGCAGGGCTATAAAAGAAACGTTATTAAGTTCCAACTGAAAGCATATATACAAAGAAATATATATAAAGAGCTATATAGAGTTATAAAGGAAAGGCGTTTCAAGTGAATCTGGATTGATTTTTCTTTCAATGCAGGTGTGATTTTTCTTTCAGGGCAGGTGTGAATTATCTCTGAAACTTTTGGGACAATTTTCATTAAAAGTCTCACACTTGGCCTGTCTATCAAAATGACAAAATAATGTAGAAAAGTAGGCCACTCACATTATTATATTTTAAATAACAAAACAGCAAAACACATGTTGTAAATTAGTTTGTTACTTAAAGTTGGAGTGATTTTGCATCTATTATGGTCCAGGAAATATGTGAGAGGCATGGATTTTTGTGGTTCATATTGTGTTTTGGTTTTTATTAGACCAACTGCACTGTTGGGAAAGATTTTTACAAAGTTATTTAGAGAAAAAACAATATTTTAGTTCTTTAGAAAAAAGTTCTGTTAAACATATTTTAACCATGCTGGGATGATCAGCTTTAATTTTTAATTTTCAATATGTTTTTATTGTCTAAAATACATATAATGCACTGTAATAGATTCTACTGATTTATTATACCACAAGTACAACAAACATTTTGTAATTATCACCACTCACAGTCTTTTTTTAACAAATGTACAAAGCAGTGCTAACCTCCTATATCAGGGGTTGGCAACTTATTTTATCAGGCCCATGGAGCCAGAGGGGGGTTTGGCCATGCTCTGGTAGTAGAGCCAGGTAGAGTTTGGCCATGTTCTGGTGGCAGAAGTTTTGCCCGCAGGCTGAGTTCCTGGGAAAAGCCATGGTGGTGGCAGTGGCCTGGTTGGAAACACCAGCCCATCCTATACCTAAACTGGAATTTTGTGGCCTACAACTTATTGCCAACTATTATCCTATACAATTTTGGCAAATGGAAATATCTAAATTCATTATTAGGTTTAATATAGCAAAATTTTATTTCTGACAAATGTCATTTCAGTATGTAACGAGCATATTTCTTCATGATACTCATTCACATTCTTAAATTCACAGAGAATGAATATTGGTCTGAGAGCTTTCTTGGTAATTGCTGATAGCTTACAGCAAAAAGATGGTGAACCTCCAATGCCAGTTACTGGAGCTGTCCTTCCTTCTGGAAACACTCTCAGAGTGAAGAAAACTTACTTGAGCAAAACCCTGACAGAGGAGGAAGCTAAAATGATAGGTCAGTAACAGGCACGTGCCATAATAAACAATGTGCAATGTTAACGCAATGTGAAAACTTGCAGAATGACTAGAATCAGCATGTATAGGAATCTTAAGTGAATTAGGAGAATATTTTCATATAGTTAAGTATTTATGTATTTGCTTTATTTTACCATGTATACTTAAAGAAATACATTCTTTAGACTGATTAATACTATTAACTGAAATTTAAGTTTCTTGTAACGTACTGCATAATATATTCAGTAAATATATTTAGATATAGCAGTGGTGGGAATTCCAACAGTTATTAGTATTTTATAGGTTTAACATAAAACTCATATGTAGATAGATATTCTTTTGAATGCTGAATATCTAGGTTTATTTAGCTTCTCTGCTAAAATGAAATAGCTGAATGAAATAACTGCACTCAGATATCTAACAATTTAAGAAACATCACAGATTCCAGTGTCAAACTGGAAAAAACCCTTTTGAAAAGCATTCATTGTGTATTTTAAACCAGTGATCCATGTTCCTATGGGCTATAGAAGAAAGGAACATAAGAAGCGCCATGCTTGCTCATACCAATGGTCCATCTGATCCAGTAGCCTATCTCCAATGGTAGCAAGTAGCAGATATTTTAGAGGAAGAGTATATGTACAGGGCATGTCTAGAGCAGTGGTCCTCAACCTTTTTTGTACCAGGACCCATTTGTAAACATTGATGGGCAGTCCCAACCCAGTGCCCCTCACTCCCGACCTGCTGCCCCCCATTCTCAGGCCCCAGGCCCCCAATGTGTGGGCCAAGGGGTGGGTGTATAGTATGTGGGGCATGGGGGGCCCCAACCAGCCCCTTGCAGGCTGGAACTCTGCCAGCCTACCAGGGAAAAGTCATGGTTTTCCATGTTTTTCTCCTTTAAAGGAGAATCCATTTTTTAAGTTTGTTGATCCATTTTAGGGGTGTATTTGGTAGCTGTGTTGGTCTGAGACAAAAAGACATAAAAAAAGCTAGAACCCTTGGTTCCAAAATGATACCTTTTATTAGGCCAACTGGAAAATGGCAAGAAAGTTGTCCTTTTCTACAAGCTTTCAGGATCAAAGTCCCTTCATCAGGCTCTGGGAAAAGTGTAGATGGTACCAGATGGTAAAAAGTCCCCATAGGTAGAAATAAACTTCATTTCTGCATAGAGGGAGCTGAAGATGAAAGTCTGTCCCTCTGGGTCCATGAGAGTGTCTTTGTGAGCTGTGCTGAGTAGCTCTTTGATGTGTTGATCAGGTAGAATTCCTTCCCTGGAGGTGTCAGATGGCAAGCTAGGAGGTAAAAAAACTTCCTTGTTGTTCTGCAATGAAGTTTAAAATCCAAAATTGGCTAAAATTTGGCATATTCCATGTTTCAGGGGTGTACTTGGTACTTGTTGGTCTGAGGCAAAAAGACATAAAAAAACTAGAACTCTTGGTTCCAAAATTATACCTTTTATTAGACCAACTGGAAGTTTGTTTAGGACCCTTTCATATATTCTCATGACCCACTTTTGGGTTGTGACTAACAGGTTGAGAAACACTGATCTAGAACAATCCATCCCCTCTCATACCTTCCCTGATATCAACCATCATTGGTTTTGATCAGGGCTGTCCAACTTTTAAGCCCCCACAGGCCACACCAGCAAGGGTCACATGCTGCATGAATGCTCCCCTCTCCCTCTGCCTCCAATACTCTACAGCAGGAAGCAGCAGCAAGAGGAGGAAGAGGGAGAGGGAGCCCGGAGACCCCAGCTGCAACAGTTATACAGCAGCAGCCACATGAGACCCAAGGGGCTGGAATTTAACCTCTCATAGACTGTATGCAGCCCACAGGCCAACAGCTTGGACAGCCCTGCTTTAGATAATCATGAAAGTAAGGCTGCCATAAAATAAGGTCCAATCCTATAATCACTTACTATTAAGTACAGGTAATATAAAACTGTGCTAGATTATTTATATGTTTTTGTTTGTTTCCTTCAATACCTTGGAATTTAGATCATATCAAGGATTTTGAAAGTTGGGGTTATTTTGGAGTTCTGAACCTACACAGGCTTTATCCAGTAGAAAGAGAAATGGCTGGAGAAAGGCATATAAAGAGATACCTCTTCCTTGGTGATGACAGAGAACTTTTCTTTGGATACTTCAGAAATGTCAGCTTAAAATGAGAAAGTAGATTGTATTTTCCAGTTTAACAGAGGCAAAATTGGTTTAATTTTTTTATTTCTTAAATAATTTTATATGCTACTGTATCACAGTATGAGACATAGTGTATGTAATACAAAATAACTAGACCTAGTTCCATACTAAGAGGGCACATCTACATGTGCACGTTACTGCAGAGCTGACTAATTAGCTCTGCAGTAATGCGTCAACATCTATACATGTAGCACAACTAGGCCACAATAAACTAATTAACTCCACTGTGGGATAGTACTGCCTGACACAAGTACTATCCTATGCCGGAGTTTAGTGCACCAAAATGCATGTGCAGAAGCAGACCTGGGCTGGTGGGGCATGGGGGTGCTACAGTGTGAGGGCTGCCTGACAGCTAGTCTGCACTGTAGCACCCTCATGCCCCAGCTGGCCCCTCTGCAGCACAGTGAGCTGGGGCAGAGCAGCTCCAAACTGGCAGGCTGGCCCCCTAGGCTCCATGCCAGTCAGGGTTGTGCTGCCCCAGCTCAACTTGCTATGTTCTGGGTGCACATGTAAATGCTGCACCCGGGAGCAATAAACTCTGATGGGAATAGCACTGGAGTTTATTTTAGTGCATTGATAGCACATGTAGATGCACCCACAAAGTATTCTGAGAGGTAATTCAAACTTTTATTAGCTGTTAATTTTAAAAGCTAGCTGCTGGCTTAGAGCCTTTATTTTTATCAGTTTTTAGTGGCTAAAATATATAAAACTTTCTGAGCTATGGAATAGAATTATTTCGTATCCAGATTTTATTTAACCATTTAAGGATGGATTTGGGCCACCTTTCTTCATGTTGCATAAGTTCCTTTCTGCATGACTTAGTAAGGCACTATACACTATGGTCATGTACAGATGTTCAGTTTCTCCTGGGAGAATCACCATTCTCCTGGTAAAAACCAAAAGTGTGCAGATGTCCAAGCAAAATGAAGCAAAATGGTTGATACAGGAGAAAAATAACCTGATAACCAGATAGAAATCACTCAGAATGTCAGTACACTTTTTTTCTGGCCAGGGGAAAAGCTCCTGTGCTTTCTTGAGACCTGGTCACACCAGTTTGGAGAAGTCACAGGAACAGCTGCTCCTGCCCCTCCCATAGACTGAGAGTGAAAGGGAGGAGCAGACACCAGCTGCCCACCTCTCTTGCTTCCCACACCAGAACTCTTGCTGTAAGAAGTGAGCAGGGCCTTTGCCCTGCCATTCTCTTCTATCAGCTGTCAAGCACTGAGCTAAGTGCAGGCAGCAGCACTTTCCCTTGTCTGCTTCTACTTGCCCTCATCCCTGCCACTCAGCTGTGCAGCAGGGGTGGCAATTTAAAAGTCAGGTTTAAGCAGACTTTCCATGAGCTTGGTTCCTACCTGACTGGCTTCCCTATGGCCTGCCCCCCCACCAATCAGCTGAGCAACATGGGTGAGGAGAGGGCAAGGGAAAGCTAGCTGGACTGGGAAATAGACTTGGGGAAGCTCTTCCTGGAATAGTGGAGTTAAGCCCCAGCCCAGTCCTCACACTGGAGTCCCAGGTATGTATAGTGGGCAGGGGGCTTTGCCCCACTGCTCCAGTCTCCTGGGAACAGGAGGACTGAAGCAGCCCACACTTTCCCCAGACCACAATGATCCCAGTCAGGGGGAAGGCACAAGGAGCAGGGAAGAAGGGGCAGTTGCAGACTGAACATCTGTGCTGTTCCCTCTCCTTGGAATCATTTCTAGCGGTGGAAATGGCCATCTGGGCACCACACTTCAAGAGGGATGTGGACAACATGGAGAGGGTCCAGAGGAGGGCCACTCACATGATCAGGGGACAGCAGGGCAGGCCCTATGAGGAGAGGCTACAGAACCTGAACCTGTTCAGCCTCCACAAGAGAAGGCTGAGGGGGGATCTAGTGGCCTGTTACAAACTAGTCAGGGGGGATCAGCAAGCACTGGGGAAGTCCCTGTTCCCCCGAGCACTACCAGGAGTGACCAGGAATAACGGTCACAAGCTGGCAGAGGATAGATTTAAGCTAGATACCAGGAGGCGCTACTTCAGGGTCAGGGTGACTAGGATCTGGAACCAACTTCCAAGCGAAGTGGTGCTGGCTCCTACCCTGGGGGTCTTTAAGAGGAGGTTAGATGAACACCTTGCTGGGGTCATTTGACCCCAGTACTCTTTCCTGCCATGGCAGGGGGTCAGACTTGATGATCTTCTCAGGTCCCTTCCAACCCTAGAAACTATGAAACTATGAAACTATTTGTACACAGCCTATGAGATGCTGAATTAGAATGAAATAGCTGAGGCTAATTGGTCATGCCACGATTAAAATTGTTATATATATATATTTACACTGCTTGAGTAACTACGTTCTTCTTTAAAATAGCTGTATCTGTTAATATTCTGTTCTTTTAAAAATGTAACTTTAATGCATATTGTTACAGGTATGTCATTATATTATTCTCAAGTAAGAAAAGCTGTGGACAACATACTAAGGCACCTTGATAAGGAAGTGGGGCGATGCATGATGTTAACAAACATACAGATGTTGAACAAAGAACCTGAAGATATGATCACGTGAGTGTTAAAATAAAATCACGTTTGACTAAAACATAAAAGTTCTGTTTTATTTCTTTCACACCTTTCTGCAGTCCTGTCTTAGCTGTCACCAAGATAAAGTGCAACAAGAACAGTTTGTTTATGTATACTTGAAATACCTTCTGCCAGAGTCACTGATATTTGTGTACCACAAGGAAGATGAGGGCTGCTCTCTTTCTTAGAAAATGTATCTTTGTTTTTCTGGATTTCAGCATTTGTTTGCAGTGCAGGACTTACACTGGCTCCCCCCTAAATAGCTAGAATTACATCAGAATCTTGTTAATGGGAAGGTGTTAGGGGGAAAAAAAGGAAAACTAGGGAGTCAGGCCAATAGAGACCTATGGCAATGAGATGGGGCTGGAAATTTGTAGATTTTTGCTGGCTTTAATAAGTTGTTAGACAAGATGGCGAATTTCCTGCACTACAGTAGATGGCAAACCAACTATGCAATTGCTTGAAATCCAGCAATTATGACTGTGCTTAATCTTTGTTTCAAAATTCCTCTTGTCTGCCTAACGTTTTTTTGCTCTCTGTGCCTACATTAGCTTTTAAGCTCTTCAGGTCTTCTTTCATTTTCCTTAAATGCCATGTGTGGTACGTTACTATAATCATATTAATATTTCAGCTTGAAAAGTTATGCTGGATGTATTCTTTCATGGAGTCAGAATGGTCTCTGATGCTCATAGCCATTTCATTTGAGCATTTAGAGTATCTGAACTTTCTAGGAAAAAAAAAGGGTTTTGACACACACTTTCTTTCCAAGAGGTAACTGCTTAGTCAAAACCTATGAAGTCAGACTGTAGTGTACAAAATACAGAAAAAGATTTGATTTTTCTTGTAAATTTCCTTTATTTGATTAACAAATACCAGCCCAAGCCGGCCCACCCTGTTTCTTGTTAAGAAGGGGTTCAAAAATGAAGGTTAGGATGTTGGTGAATGTTCTTCATGAAAAAAATGCAAACAGGTAAGTTTGACACAAAGGCCTAGGTATATTAATTACCAATATTTTCTTGTTGCGCCCTGTGTCTAAATGAAATAAAGCCAACCTAGAGTTCTAAAACAACATTACAATTCCTCAGGAAGCACATATGTGAGAACACATTTGCCTTATAATGTCATTTATTTCAGATGCTTAATTTATAGTCTTAATCCAAAATCATGTTGATCTGAAAAGCACTAGATATAGGTTGGATGTTATTATTAGTCACATTTTAAAATAACCAAAATGCTAATAATATATATATTTTTAATAAACCTCCATGCTTCCATGACCTGATATATAATGCCTATGTTATATTTATTTAACTCTTATTTTATTCACACAGTTGTAAGTTTTCCTAAAATTATATACTACTTATGAGTTCTTAGCTGTTAGTTTTAGTACGTATATAATTTTATAAATTTTATTTAAGTTTTAAAACTGACATGGCCAGTATAACATTTATAAGAAGTCTAATATTAATCACTAAACTAAACATTTTAAATCCATTTTAGGAGAAACAAATAGGGCATTTGTACATATGGTCGCACTGCAGCGCTGCGTGCTTTTAAAAGTGCCTAGTGCTGAGGCACATGCAGTTGTATAAGCAGCAAAATGCATGTCAGCTCTGAGAAAATGGCGGTGGCATGCTTTTGACCACCTCAAAGGTGTTTTAGTTCAATAGCGCACAGCCACCATTTTCTGTTTGTTGACATGCATTATAAAACTGCTTATAAAACTGCATTCGATGTAGCACAGTGCACATCCACTCTCATGCGGAGCAGACTCGATTAATCAAGTCTGCTCTGACCCACCAGATCTCCAGTGCCTCACAGGACAAAAAGGTATGTGTATAAATGCTTATTATGTATCAGAAGGGATCACAAGTGGCTAAACTATCCTCAAACATGGCTTTTTGTAATATCTGATTCTTTTATTAGTATTTAGTATTTATTTGATAGCATTAGTAATACCAATGAATGTAAAGACTGCCTCTGCAAACACTTATTACTGGATACAGTATTTTCTATTATGACTATTCCCATTAAAGTCATTGAAAGAAAAGAGATTTCCTTACACCATATTTTGGGACTTAGATTTACCTATAAATAATAAGTACATTTTTACATAGTAGTAAACTATATGCCTGGTCTTAGATTGACACCCACTTTCAACCTAGAGACTTCTTTTCTGAGCGTTCTAAAGTTTTCTACAGTTAAAAAAACACCTTTCTACTCTGATTTTAGATACCGTATTTTCTCACAGACCACATGCTCCCAAGTAAGACACATAATTTGCTTTGAGGAAAGAAAGAGTGAACGAAAAAAAGAGTTATGGCTGCATAGAGCAGGGAAAGAGCCAATTGCCCATCAAGACGGGGGTTGCGAGTGGGGACAGAGGCCTGCATCTGGCCTCCCTCAGCCCCCACCTTTGGGGCCGGGCCTGCTACCCCTTTTCCCCCCTCTGCCAGAGGGCCAGCCCCCCTGCCCCACTGCCACCGTTTTGGGTCCAGGTGCACCCCCCCACACACACCCTGCTCACTGCTGTTTTGGGGCTGGGCCCACTTCCCCTTCCCCATCCATCTGGCCTGCATCTGCCTGCCTCCCTTTCCCATGAATGATGTGGGGGGGTGCAGACAGAGTGCCACCATCCAGCACCCCATGCCACCACTGCATCCAGGGAGCAGGGGGTGGGGGATAAGGCCAGCACTGCTGGCCTCACCGCCCCCCCTGCTCTGTCTGCTCCTTGTCCACCACTCACCCCTTTGCCCCTTCCCCTCTGTCCCCACCATCATGGCAGCATCCAAGCCAGCTCTTCCCTCACACCACACTGGGCCTGGGCCTGGGCCCATTGCCCCTGACATTGTGCTGCTGCCATGGGTCCAACCCTGTTTCCCACCCACCTTGTGCTTCCACCGCCTCCTCCACAGAGCGGGGGTGGGTGCTGAGGCCAGTTGTGCTGGCCTCAGCACTCCCCATCCACTTTGTCCCTGCCGTCATGGCGATGCTCTGCTGTGGTGCCGCTGCCACCTGCAGTCTGAATGCTCTTGGAGCACTCTGATTGGCTGCCAGGAGAGCCAGTCAGAGTGCGAATAAGGAGTTATGGACAGACAGACACACAGACGGACAGACTAAGGCTTTAATAATATTTTAATGTTATTTAAATAATATTCTATTGTCTACATATAAATATTGTCCTTACAGCTAAAAGTAACTGTGTTCAGAATCCATCACCTGGATTTTTGAGACAGCCAAAAAGATCACTGGAGAGCCATGTGGTAAGGCACTCCTGGAAATTAAAAATCTGGTATGTTGCATCTACAAAACACCAAGTAGCCGAGGTGTGGTCTGAACTTGAGTTTCTGGTTTGGTCCTTTTGTGGTGGGTCTTTGAGCAACTGCTGAACCACTAGAACAGTTCGAAGACTTTATATTTATAAGTATTTTTACATTTGCCCTCATTGGGAGTGTCCAGACGAGCATGCACCCTATGATACGCTGCAAGAGGCATGTGCAGGAACGAAAAAATGTTCACTGTGCTGCAAATTTGCAGCATGGGGCAAAATTAGACCCCTGGATATCCAGGGGTAAAAAAAATCAGTAGAGGAAAAAAGCGGGGCAGGGCACAGTCCCAGACCATGCCTAGAATGAACAGGAGGCTGGGTCCTCCACAGAGATGCTCTGGTACCCAGCCAGAGCACCTCTATCGTTGGCCCTCACCACAGTGCTGAAGCACACTGGCTGCCTGTGCAGGGCAGGTAGCATGCCAGCTGCAGGGAGCTGGACCCAGGCTGCTGTCAGTAAGTAGGGGGTAGGGGAGAAGAGGAGGTGGGGACCATGGAGGGACTGCCACTGGCCCCGCCCACTCCCCCAGACCCCTAATGGCTGCGCCACCCAGCCCCATTCCCTGCCTGCACCCCAAGCCTCCCTGATCACTATCCCACCGGGCCCCGTCCCCCGTCTGCCCCCTGAGATCCCCCATCACTGCCCCACCCAGCCCCAGCATCCCTGCAATTAAAAACAAAAAAAAGGCCGCACTCACTGGCAGTAGCAGCTGCCGTCAGGGTCACTGGGGCCTGTGGCAGAGCCCCACCCCCCCTTGCAGCACGGGGCCCAGGTGACAGCTGCAGTGGTCCCTGATGCCTGACAGTGCAGGAGCTACTTGGAGCGCTGCCAACACCACCCACATCCGCCCAATGGGGCAGTAGCAGTGTGGGCACCAGGCAGCTAAGGCCAGGCCCTGCTGCCCTGTGCTGCATGCCACAAGGCCCCAAAGCCCCCACAGCCCCTGCTACTGTGGATGAGTACAAGGCTTTTTTTCTTGTCTTTTCTTTTCTATTTTTTTTTAAAGTGCCAGGAGGCTGGGGCCAGGTGGGGCAGCCATCAGGGGGTTGAGTGGGGCAGTCATTGGGGGTCCTGCAGGAGCCAGCATAGGATGGGGCCAGGCAGGGCAGCAATCTGGGGGGCTGGAGGAGCAAGCGGGAGTGGGGCATGTGGGCCCTGCTGGGGGGTTGGTAGCCCCTGCAGGGGCCAAGTGGCCCCTGTTGGGGGGCTGCGGTCCCTGTTGGGGGCTGCAGTCCCTGTGGGGGGGATGTGAACCCTGTGGGGGGCTGTGGCCCCTGTGACGGGGCTAAAGCCCTGTGGGGGGATGTCTGTGAGCTGTGCAGGGGGCTGCACTTTGCAGGGGGCAAGGGACCCACCCCTCCTTAGCAGCCCCCCTGCACAGTCCCTCCATAATCCACCCACACCTACTCAAACACCCACAGCCCCCACATCCCTCCACAGCCACCCAGTTAGGGCCAGGAGGACATGTTTTGACAGTTCAAAGCAGGCCACCACACTGGGAACATCTTCCAGGCGATAGCTGCCCAGATGGCCGGGCAGGGGCACACATGGTAGTAGTGCCGCACAAAGGCCAACTCTGCAGCCACAACCCACTGGCAGCTGGCCCAGAGGGGCAGATGCCTCTACTCGCTGTGCAGTCCCTAGCTGGGTCTGGCAGGTGGCAGCAGGTCACATCCAGGCAGCAGCCTCCACTGCCAGACTGCTGTAGTGGGTAAAGGGTGCAGGGAACTCTCAGGGCTGCTTCAGCAGTTCAGCTGGCACAAGGGGTACTGTCCCCAGGTACCAATTGACTGGACCCCAGAAGCTCCTGAGAGTGAGTAGCCCTGAGCTACTTGCCAAGGTGGCTTTTCGTACTGATGGGGCCAGGACAGGGCAGCTTTTTATACTGCTGGGCTGGCCCCGGGTTCTAGCTCCCCCTGGCTGCAGATCCGGGAGGAGCCAGGCAGGGTTATTTTGCCCCAAGTGGCACAATTTGCCCCACACCAAAGTGCATGTTTGGGCACGTGCGCTGAGGCAAAAAGCCCCTCAAATTTGCACCACTTCTACTTGAGTTGCTGCAAGCACATGTGTTTGCATGTGTGGATGCGCCCATAAAGTTTTCCTGTAATGTTACTTTACTTGGTTTTATTTGAGCTGTTATTTTCATGTCTTCATAATAATTGCATGTACTGATTACCCTTCATAGTGACTAGCACTAAGGAATTGTATACTAGTTAAGTTTCTAATGTAGGATTTGCATAAGAAGCCCTGCAGAATTCATCTGCATATGTGAGCCAGCACGGCTTATCTGTTTTCAAGCAGATATGAAACTAATCCCAGTGGTGAGAGGCAACTGCTAAGCAAACTACTGTAGTTTTAATATTTCTTTACTTCATTATTAATGAAATACTTGTATAGATCACAAAGATTTGGTTATAGTTTAATTCTCAGATGAGAATCATAGTATAGAGATGTCTCTTCCAAGTATGTTTAAATCTCTTTGATAATGAAAATCTGTCTTCAGTTGTTATATACTTTAAAGTTATGATACACTTTGAGTAAGGTAGAGATAAGTATGAAATAATTCATTATGAAAACTAATTTCAGCAAACTGTACATTGGAAGCTGAATATATTAAAAATTCACTTAAGCATGGTAGTTTTTTTAACACCATTCAGATTCAAGCTGATAAATATTTTAAAATGTGCTGAGAAATAGGACATTGAAGTAGGGCCACAAAGCTGTCATTCAATTTGAATAGTCCCATTATAAGAAGAATCAGTACTTTCTGTGCCCTTTCTAAACCTGTTACTTATTAAAATGATGATGTTCTTTAGCCTCACTTCAGTCTTTTTTGAGGAGACATATTAAATTCATGCCATCAACTCCTTATCAAGAGAACTGTATGTTCATATTTAATTCCCTGTGTAATTTAGAAGGAGTGATCTAATGGGTTAAACAGTGAACTGGAACTGAGGAGGTCTGTGTTCTGTTCTCTGCACTGTCACTAAACTGTGGTATGGACTTGGGCAAGTCTGATCACTTCACTGAGCCTCTCTTTTCTTTCCCACCCTATGTTTATACAGTTTAGATTGTCAGTGTTTCAAGGCAGGAGCTGTCTCCTACTGGTGTAGAACACCTGGTACAATGAGACCTCAACATGTTTGGGGCCCCCAGGGACTACTGTAATATAGTAGCATTATGTGAAAATTACTTACTGTAATTTTGTAATGTTATCTGAAAGACTGTGCAACCTCTAATACTGCATTTTGATGATCTTATCTATCTGAATTATTGAGGTTAGCTAGCCAAATAATAGGGCAGTTGAGTCAAATTAGCCTTCGTTGGGAGACTGTCTGATGGATTTCTTCTCTTTCTACATTCTCAGAAAAAAACATTTGTAAAGAGCACAGAAAGCAATACAAGAAGGAACTGATCCTGTGACAGTATCTGTAATAAAGGTTCTCAGTTGTTGTAACCTGACCCACCCTTAGGAAATTTAAAGATTTGGAACCCAGTCCTTGGTTTGGACTGAACTTTGTACTTTCTCAGTTCCCTGGACTACCAGAAAGCATTTTGGCCTTTAGCCAAGTTAAAGCAGCCTTAGTTCATTATAATTTGTTCCAGCTGGTAATAACCACCAAAGCTGTAATATCAGCTGTGGATCAACAAAAGTGTTCTGGCCGGTGGCCACACCAGTCCCTTTCACTGTGCTTCACCCTCATGTTTAGGTTCTCCCTGAGTAGCATGGGGTTCTTCCAGGTCAGTGCTATCTTGAGGCTCAAGATCTGGCTCTTTAATTTATTATTTTGGCTTTCATAGTTGTTTTATATTCTGTCAACATTTGCTGGTCTTTAAACTCTGTTTCAAACTTTCAGGGGTGAAAGAAAACCAAAAATTGATCTTTTCAGAACATGTGTTGCTGCTATTCCTCGATTGCTTCCTGATGGAATGTCAAAACTTGAGCTGATCGATTTACTGGCAAGGTAGGTTGTGTAAATGCTTAAAAGACTCATCTGCAGGAATTGAATGAGACTGAGTTTCAGTCTGTGTAATTATTTCTTAGGCAGAATCACATATATAAGGTAAAATGATGTGTAATTGAAGCTTATGCCACAATAGATGTGAACAGCAGTATGTAAGATTGCATTCATACCTACAAACCTCTAATGCAGAAGTAAATGTCCTCTTTAGAAATGTTTTTTTACATTGTGAACTAGTACATTCATTCTTTCAGATAGCACTTTGAAAACAAACACCTTTTTGTAATGTGATGTGTATTTAATTCTTACTACAGTAAAAGCCACGTTATCCGCCACTTCATTAACTGGCATGCTCTATTAACCGGCATGCTGGTCGATGCTGGTCGAAACATCAAAAGCAAAACTGGAAGTGGGACTTCCGGTTTCACCAAGTCCCACTTTGGTCCACGACACAGGGCAAAGCAGCCTGTGTGGGGCCTCCCTCCCTGTCCCCCAGTACAGTGACGCCAGGGGAGGGGTAGGAGGGGCGGCACGGTGCCTGTCCCCCGGCACTCTGATGCTCTAGACGCATTGGGAGGGGCGTCTTTGCCTGACCAGGCAAAGACACCTCTCAGCTAACTTGCATATTTGGTTATCCGGCACCCCCCATTCCCCATGGGTGCCAGATAACAGAGCTTTTGCTGTACTGTTATGATAGCAGCATGCTACAAAAAGAGAAGATCTATATCTGGCATAATGAGAAAACATACAATTAAAAATTCCAGATTGGGATTATATATTTTACACATCTGCCTAGCAAAACAATGTGGCAGGCTTGGTGCGTTTGAACTTTATCTTCTTACTACTAGATCATACGTATTTTTAAATTTAAAAAAAGCAAAAAACAGAGAGGTAGGAGGGTTTGAGTCTGTCATACTCCTGAGCTAGGACCCTTCTGATCTGCATGAAAACAATTTCATTGTCATGAAAGAGGTGGATTATGATTCAGAACCTACAAAACGGAAGTAGGCTCATGGATTTAATAACAATGATATAGTAGGGGCATATAAAGATTCAGTTGTACTACAGTTATGAAAAGCCATAATGATAGGTGAGAATTTTCAGCATAGAACACTCTGCTGTTAAATCTGCATTCTGGTATCAAAGTACCACTGCTAAATGTTTTTAACATATGTCTTGTAGACACCCTGTTAAAATGGAATTATTACTGATTATATTGGAAAAGCAAGTCTCAAGGACCCCAGTAATATGTCAGTATTATCAGGTAACAGTGACAAAGCAATGTGGGCACCATCATGAGGTGTGTTTAAACTGTGTACATAGAGGTCAAGGGGGGGATCATTTGCAGAAGCATTTGGTCTTGTCTGCTGCAGGCTGAATCCCAGTCAGACAGCTGCTTAGACCCATGGTGAATTGCAGACAGCTACAAGGGCCAAAAATATAGTCAAGAATAGGTGTGATGCTTGGATGTCCTTGTCATGTCTTCTGTTGCCAGACCATATTCCACTGCACCAATAGTTAAGACTGAGATAAATTATACAAGGACATTTATGTTGGTTCTCCTCCAGTGATGAATTGCCCATATGTTAGGGTAATCCCCTCCAGGCTGGTATGAGTTGAATTTCTCTCTATTGACTCCTATAGGTAAGAAGAAGTATTCATGGATTACATAGGCAGTCTCATCCAGCTTTTATTGGCTATAAATATGGTGCAGCAACAGAGGGCCTTATGGGTAGGATTGATAAAGTAGGAGGCAAATTCTTTTCATTGCTCTTCAGTGTTCTTAAGAGACATAGTAAACATCTGAATTAGAATTACTGTGGTCCACGGGACAAATAAGGGAACAGGAAGGAAACTGACTGAAAACTGTCTCAGTTTCCTTGCATTTAGGCCTGAACTCTTGATTATCCTGTGATATCACGTAAGCAATACATTTACTCCTAATATGCCCAGAATTTAAATGTTAATGATATTTCATACCAGCCTTGTAGTACTATAATTTAATTGTGGTTAAACAGTTTTGCAATACATACCTCAGACTTACAGTGTGCAGCTGTCTTTAACATTGCATCAGCACTGCATCCTGTTACACAATGAGGTAATTTACCTTGTTGTGTCATATTCCAAATACCCTCCAGTAACTTATATATGGGGGAAGCCCGCTGCTTTGTGCAGTGCATCATGGGAGTGACATGCACCAAAATATAGTCTCCTGTGTGGATTGTGCTCCTCGTTCATTGTCTGACATGTGTTTCTGTAGTTGCCATCCTCATTATGATAATACCCTGTGCTTGCGTGTACTGTCTGCTGTTGGTAAGGACCAAAATTGTCTTGTAAAAGTGGTAGAAATCGGTCTGGGGGTCAGTACAGTCAAGGTCTTGGAATGTATTCCTATTTGTTACATTGTAAAGTGGGTTCCTTTTATGCGAATTTAAATTATGCACCATTTTCCAGGAACGCGTGTACAGCATAAAGCGAGGGAAACCTGTACTAGAAGTGAAGAGAGTATTTCTGCTCTAAGTTCAGTATGAGGGACAATGGCATTATCTTAGAGAGATACTCAAATGGTTCTCCATCTTCCTCACATAGAGCTGCCTTTACACCTTTATTAGTATTAACTATATGCACTATAAAATAATTAGTTGTCTGAGCTCCATCTCAAATATGGCCTTTTTTCCTCATTACAGCCACATGAGAGCAACAAGGGTGATGCTGTGGTGGGTGTCTGCTACAGACAACCGGACTAGAAAGATGAGGTTTATGCGGCTTTCTTCAGATAGTACTAGTCCAGATCATAGAACCTGGTTCTCATGGGGGGCTTCAATCACCCTGACAGCTGCTGAGAGAGCAATACAGCAGTGCCCTGGCAGTCCAGGAAGTTTTTGGAGAGTGCTGGGGACAACTTCCCAGTGCAAGTGTTGGAGAGGCCAATGAGAGACTGTGTTCTCCTTGACTGCCTGCTCACAAATGGAATAATTGGAGGTGGACGTAGAAGTGGACAGCAACTTGGGCAGCAGCAACCATGAAATGACTGAGTTCAGGATCCTTAGGAATGAAAGGAAGGAGAGCAGCAGAGTAAGGACCCTGGACATCAGAAAAGCAGACTGACTCACCCAGGGAGCTGATGGATAGACCCCTTGGGAGGCCAGTCTGAGGGGGAAAGGAGTCAGGTTTTACTTTAAAGGAAACCTGGTTTTACTTCAAAGAAACTTTACTGAGGACACAGGAAGCATGGCACGGAAAGCATGGCAGAAAACTAGTTTGGCTTAGCAGGGACTCTTCGATGAACTAAAACGCAAAAAGGAATCTTACAAGAAGTGGAAACTTGGACAAATGACTAGGGAGGAGTATAAGAGTATTGCTCGGGCATGCAGGGTTGAAATCAGAAAGGCTAAAGCATTACTGGAATTGCAGCTAGCAAGGGACATGAAGGGTAACATGAAGGGTTTCTACAAGCATGTTAGCAATAAGAGGAAGATCAAGGAAAGAATGGGTCCCTTACTAAATGGAGGAAGCAACCTGGTGGCAGATGATGTGGAAAAGGCTGAAGTACTCAATGCCTTTTTTATATCAGTCTTCACAGACAAGGTCAGCTGCTAGGCTACTGCACCTGGCAGCAGAGCTGGGGAAAGAGGTATGCAGCCAACAACAGTAAGAAAACATGTTAGGGACTATTTAGAAAAGCTGGATGTGTACAAGTCCATGGGGTCAGATGAGATGCACCCAAGGGTGCTGAGGGAGTTGGCCAATGTAACTGCAGAGCCGCTGGCCACTATCTTTGAAAACTTGTGAGGATTGGGACAGGTCCCAGATAACTGGAAAAGAGCAAATATAGCACCATCTTTAAGAAAGGGAAGAAGGAGGATCCAGGGAACTGCAGACCAGTCAGCCCCACCTCAGTCCCTGGAAAAATCATGGATCAGGTCTTCAAGGAATGCATTTCTAAGCACTTGGAGTAGAAGAAGGTGATTAGGTACAGTCAGTATGGATTCACCAAGGGCAAGTCAGGCCTGACCAACCTGATTGTCTTCCATCATGAGATGACTGGCTCTGTGGATGTGGGGAGACCAGTGGATGTGATGCCTTGACTTTAGCAAGGCTTTTGATACAGTCTCCCACAGCATTCTTAGTTTCATAGTTTGTAGGGTCAGAAGGGACCTGAACAGATCATCAAGTCCGACCCCCTGCCATGGGCAGGAAAGAATGCTGGAGCCAAAAGGAGGCTAGATAATCACCTGGCTAAGTGATTATCTAGCCTCCTTTTGAAGACCCCCAGGGTAGGAGTGAGCACCACTTCCCTTGGAAGTTGGTTCCATATCCTAGCCGCCCTGACTCTGAAGTAGTGCTTCCTGATGTCTAGCCTAAACCTACTCCCAGTCAACTTGTGGCCATTATTCCTAGTTACTTCTGGTAGTGCTTGGGGGAACAGGGACTCTTCCGTGCCCTGCTGGTCCCTCCTGGTAAGTTTATAGATGGCCACCAGATCTCCTCTCAGCATTCTCTTGTGGTTCAGGTCCTATAGCCTCTCCTTGTAGGGCCTGCTCTGCTGCCCCTTGATCATGTGAGTGGCCCTCCTCTAGACCCTCTCAATGCTGTCTACATCCCTCCTGAAGTGCGGCGCCCAGAACTGGATGCAGCACTCCAACTGCGACCTGACCAGTGTCGCGTAGAGGGGGAGGATCACCGCCTTGGACCTGCTCGTGATGCATCTGTGGATGCATGACAAGGTGTGGTTAGCCTTACGGATCGCATCCTCACGTTCGTGGCCCATGTTCATTTTGGAATCAATAATGACTCCCAAGATCCTTTTCTGCCTCTGTGCTGACAAGAAGGGAGTTCCCCAGCCTGTAGGTGTGCTGCTGGTTCTTTCTCCCTAGGTGCAGTACCTAGCACTTGTCAGTATTGAATCCCACCCTATTCTCATCTACCCACCCCTATAACCTGTCCAGATCTAGTTGTAACCTGTCCGTCCCTTCTAGCATGCCCACTTCTCCCCACATCTTAGTGTCATCTGTGAATTTGAACAAGGTGATTTTCACCCCCTCATCCAGGTCGCTGATGAAGATGTTAAACAGTGCGGGCCTGAGGACTGAGCGCTGGGGGACCCCACTGCCCATGTCCCTCCAGGTCGAAAATGACCTGTCCACCACCACTCTCTGGGGTGCGGTCCTCCAGCCAATTCGTAAGCAAATTTATGGGTTGGATGAATGGACTGTAAGGTGGATAGAAAACTGGCTGGATCATCAGGCTCAAAGGGTAGTAATCAGTGTTTCGCTGTCTAGCTGGCAGCCAGTAACAAGTGGGATGCCCCAGGGGTCAGTTGTATATCCAGGTTTGTTCAATATCTTCAACAATGATCTGGAAGATTGGGTGGAGTGTACCAAGTTTGCAGATGATACCAAGCTGGGTGGATTTGTAGATAAGTTGGAGGGTAGGACTATGATTCAGAGAGACCCCAGAAATTGGATGATTGGACCAAAAGAAGTCTCATGAAGGACAAGTACAAAGTCCTGCACTTAGAATGGAACAATCACATGTACCAGTACAGGCTGAGGACTAAGTCGCTAAGCAGCAGATCTGCAGAAAAGGACCTGGGGATTATAATGAACAAGAAGCTGAATATAAGCCAACAGTGTGCTCTTGTTGCCCAGAAGACTAACAGCATACTGGGCTGCATTAGTAGGAGCACTGCCAGCAGATCAACCAATCAGACAGGATGTAGACAAATTGGAGAGCGTCCAGTGGAGGGCAGTGAAAATGATTAGGGGGCTGGGACACATGACTTCTAAAGAGAGACTGAGAGAACTGGTCTTATTTAGTCTGGAGAAGAGAAGACTATGGGGGGGATTTCATCACAGCCTTAACTACCTGAAGGGGGTTTCCAAAGGGATGGAGCTAGACTGTTCTCAGTGGTAGCAGATGACAACAAGGAGCAATAGTCTCAAGTTGTAGCAAGGGAAGTTTAGGTTAGATATTTTGAAAAACTTTCTCACTAGGACAGTAGTAAAGCACTAGAACAAGTTACCCAGAGAGGTGGTAGAATCTCTATCCTTGAAGGTTTTTAAGACCTGGCTAGACAAAGCTTTGGCTGGGATGATCTTGCTGGGGCTGGTCCTGCTTTAAGCAGGATGTTGAACTAGATGGCTTCTTGAGGTCCCTTCCAACCCTAATTTTCTATGATTTGATCCCACATACATTGCAGAAGCTTAGGCTTTTCATTTCTGCAAATGCTTCACAATACTTATTACAATGTTAAATCACTTCAAATTCTGAATTCACTAAATTTTGTGACTAAATTTTTTCTAGTAGCTGAATTTAGGATTACGGGGCTTTGATCACATCTAATGGTAATCCTTTTGAAAAAAGCAACTTGGAGTCCTCAAGCCCCTTTAATAGGGACTTGGTTAAGTTGGATGTTTGGACAGAAAGCTGTTAACATTTCCTCCTTTCTTGAGATGAAACAGCATCTTTGGGATAATAGATTATTTTACTCACAGTTTGGTTTGAATTTTCATCCTAACAACAGATGTGTCTTTTGGCAGTTTCCAGAAAGAATCTGTAAATCAACAGCTAGGTTTTCTTCCAAGACAGCTGTATTCAAATTTCAAGCAGTAAAGCAGATGTCAAGCTTACACTCTGGCTTTTGACCCTTTGCTGCCCATTGAATATATTCATTACAAATTCCCAAGACAGGTTTTAAACTTAAGGGGCTGAAGTGCAAACAAATGAGCTTTTACTTGCACTGAATCTTGGATTTTTTTTATCAGGAAGAATTGTTAGAAACTAAAAGAGGTATTACCTCCAACATCTGGCATGTCTGCATATCTTCTTGACATCTCATGATTTTCCCTTTGGCAAAGAGCTGCTTTAGTAAACCAGATTAATTACTGATAAAGTCTTATTCCTGAGAATAATGGAGAAATTCTCCACAAAGCCCCCTTAGCTCAGTTGACTTATCCATTGTACTGACTCTGCTAACATAATACTGCAGAGTTTCTGTCTTAAGCTAAGTTTAACTTCCATTTCCTTTGATAAAATTTTCCAGTGCCTTTGTACAGTAACTTGGCCTTAGAGACAATAATAGTTTGTTTATTGTTTTCGATCACCACCATATTTCGTTGCCTAATGATTATTGCATGGATGAATTTAATATAATTTCAGTTTATAGCCTATTTTTATTATTTTTGATGTCCAAAGGAGAAAAGAAAAAACATTGCCTTAATTAAGTGCAAGATAAATATAGTAATACCCAATTTGTACATGAATTCCTGTGGATCCTAAAGCACAGCAGTCTCTATTGCTGAAGTTCTATGATAGTCAACCTTTTCTTTGACAGAGTAAAGCAGTCTCTGATTTGATTGTGAAAAATTGTATTACAGCGATCTGGTTGGAGTAATTTAATTTCACTTTTTCAGACAGCAGGGCAACTTTTGTTCTAAATTCCACTTAATCATATAATTCCAGACAAATAGAACTTGGTCCATTGCATTCTTTTAGCTTTTCTCTAGACTTTTTCCTTTTTATTACAGAGAAGTCGTATGAGGCAGTGTTAGAGTTCATGTGTTTAACTTCATGTAAAGATATACTCTCAATAATTTTTTTCTGTTCCTTGACTGAAGTTTAATTTTAATTGTTATACAAACCCTTGGGAGTTTTGTTTCATTTTTGTTTGTTTTTATATACCCAAGATAAAATAAAATGCATGAGATGTATGTATTAACCTGAAACCTTTTTTATTTTGCGAGCAAACAAGTCAACACTATTTTTGTTCTGAGAGATTGCAAAGATGCCATATTTAATCTTGGAGTATGTTTGTAAGTACAAAAATAAAATGTTCATATGACTACTCTGTACTAACACGGTAATTGTGACCAGAGTAAGCTTTTATTTTGAATCCACAGCTATATTCAAGAACTGGTGTAACAAGAATTATTATATTCACTTTGATGAGTTTCTATTAATGTTAATTTACTTTGCTTATCACTGTTGATGGGGCTTGTATTTTTTATATTTTATTTTTTCACAAAGGCTCTCTATCCATATGGACGATGAACTTCGGCACATTGCACAAAATTCTCTTCAGGGTCTACTTGTTGACTTTGTTGACTGGCGGGAAGATGTACTCTTTGGATTTACTAATTTCCTGCTACGTGAAGTGAATGATATGCATCATACTCTCCTTGATACTTCCCTAAAATTGCTGCTACAGTTGCTTACACAGTGGAAGCTTGTAATACACACTCCAGGAAAAACCTCTGAACAAGCAAAAAACAGATCCTCCGAGGTATAAATGCACAAACAAAACTGCACTCCAGTTTTTGCTCATTTATTACACTAATTGTTGTGTTTTATATATGCCTTATCTATCCAGATTGTAACTCCAGGGTTCACTGCTGTTACACTTTTTTCATAATTAGTTCTGTTGTCACCTGTGGACAGCTGTTACAGTTGATGTCATTGTGCGAGATGTTATTATGGGAGGAGGTGTTACATGAGGCGTACAACATAGCAGAATGCATGTCAAACCAGAACAGATTTTCATAGATTGATAGACTGTAAGGCCGGAAGGGACCTTGGAAGATTATCGGGTCCAGCCCCCTGCACCAAGCAGGAAAGATAACTGGGGGTCAGGTGACCCCAGCAAGGTGACTGTCTAGTCTCCTCTTGAAGATTTCCAGGGTAGGTGATTGCACCACTTCTGGAGGGAGCTTATTCCACAGTCGGACACCCTGACTGTGAAGAAGTTTTTCGTAATGTTGATCCTGAATCGATCTTCCAGGAGTTTGTGGCCATTACTCCTGGTTTTCCCCTCGGGTGCCCTGGTGAACTGTTGCTCACTGAGCCCTTGATGTATTCCCCTAGTATAGCAGTAAGCTGCTACCAGGTCTCCTCTTAGCCTTCTTTTCTTCAGGCTGAGTCAAGAAAAATACATACTTGCTGAGTATACAAAAATACATACAGGCTGAGTCAAGAAAAATACTTCTTAAGAAAAATACATAAAGTGAAGTATGAGAGTACATGGGACAGAGAGACTTCCCCAATACCTGGAAATGACACATAATGCTAAAAAATAAAAAGAAAGTTTCTGTGATTCACTTCAAACTTTCTAAAATGTGACACCTTTATGAACTGAGCATCCATGTAAACTCTTCCAAAGTATTAGTCTATCACATAACTAAAGGTACAGATACTGTACTGTTAGCATGATCAAAGGGGATCAACTGATGTTTTCTAATTAACTACTTTTGTGAGCTACAGTACAGTCCCACGTATACAAAAATCTTATTGGACTTCTGTTGTCTCTCACAATATACACACAAAAAATTACCCATTTTATCTGAATTCCCATTCATCCAAATAATGTCCTATTCTCCCATTCAGTTGGATAAGTAAGATTTTATGACCAAGATTTTCAAATGTGACTTTGTATCAGTATTTTTGGTGCCCAACATGAAACACTTTTAAAGGGCCTAATTTTAGAGATAGTTGCTGCCCGTAGACATGCTGGTTTGCATTCCAATTAGAATATTCCAGAGCAGACTCAACTGACTCTGTTCCGTGTTCTGATTACAGCAGCATTGCCTCACCATCACGTGTATTAAGCCCCCCACATTTTAAAATGGCCACGGGGCGCTTTGAAACTCATTGAATAAGCTTTAGTTAAAATGCCCTTGCAGCCATTTTAAAACATAGAGGACTTAATACATGTGATAGTGAGCTGTTTTAATGAGAGCAACTATCAGGAAACTGCTTTAATTAAAATGGCCCTTCCTCACCCCAAGCATGTGTACAGGCACCCAGTGTTTAACTCACTTTGAAAATCAAATGAGCAAGAAACTGAGCAATATGTTTGCTTTTCACGATTATTTCTGTGAATTTTCCTGTTTATGTCTCTTAAAAATCTGCCCAAATGTAAACGATGTAATCATTCTTTCCAATATGCATCCCACTGTATCATACTTTTTACTTGCTCAAAATGTCTCTGTATAAATATGGGGCATGTATTCCTATAAAATGTCAGAAGAAATTTGAAGTCTGGGGAAAAGGCAATTCTTTTCAGGATCAATAAACAACACAAAAATAGAATGACAAATAGTTTTAGATACTAAATAAGGAATTTCACATCCCCTTCACACTAGCACCATACACAGTTAGTTTTTTAGAGCTAAGTATTATTGTAGATTGTGCTGCATATAGTAATCCCTTTTCTGCCTTCATGAGGAAGGGATCTTTGATCAGGCAGGTTGATGGGAGTAGTGTGCCTGAAGCGCCAGCCCCACCTGCTTGGCTTCTCTTCTGCCTAGTATAAACAAGGGGACCTTGTTTGAGCAAAGGCAGCTGAGGCTGAGTAGAATGGAACAGATCTTCTGTTCCCCTAGCCACCTCTTTGGCCAATTCAAACATCAATGAAAAATCTGATTGTTTCTCATATCTCCCCTCTCTGCATAGGTAATCATTTGTAGACATATAGCAGCTTTCTTCCGAATGAAAGCTGCCCTATCTGCCTAGCCCTCCAGGTGCTTTAGTTGTCAGATCTGGGTTTCCAGGCATGCTGTGCCTTGACCCAACTATATTTAGGGTCCAGGAAGACTTTTTGCCCTCTGGGCAAACACAGTGTGAATTAAGTAACCTGGGAAGTAGGTGGGTTGGGAGAATTAAGAAAAGTAGTCGTATTTTTAAATAAATGAAAATGTTTAAAATGCGGTTGCTTTATAATGTTAGTATCCAGTGCAGTTAAGGGGATTCAGAGGGTCTCTTCCTAGGATTCAGTGAAGACTCAAGAAGGACAGGCAGACCTTTTAACCAGGGCCAAAAATGAATGTTAAGTCTTCACAGGCTAAGTACTTGCCATACATTTTTATCTTCCTTTGCAGGGAGAAGATGGGACAGTTTAGGAGTGGGTTGAATCAAACAGGAATTAAGTGGGGAATTAAGGAGGTTGCTAAGAGAGCCAGTCCTAATTCCTTGTTGTGTGGCATGAGGTCATTTAACCCTGTACTGGATCCAATTAATACCTGGTAATTTGAGGGGTGTAGGTCAGTGTCGCTCTTCTTCCCCTTGGCTAACATTAACATAAATAGTTGTGGCCTGTCCTTTTTCATTCACGTGTCCTGATCAAATTGAATATTTTTTAGTAACTTCTTTTGCACTCAACCTCATCCTCATAATTTTCCTCTCATTGTTTTACAGTTGATACCAAATGGATCCAGCCATAGAATACAGTCTGAAAGAAGTCCTTACTCCAATGTACTGCATGCTGTCGAAGGGTTTGCACTGGTCTTACTTTGTAGTTTCCAGGTTGCTACACGTAAACTAGCAGTTTTGATTCTCCGAGAAATCCGGGCTTTATTTCTTGCACTTGGCCAGGCAGAGGTATAGTTTTCCTGGTCTGTAAAAAAGATTTTCCAGAGATAATGCTCTAAACTAAAATTACCAAGGTTTTATCATAATGTAAACAATGCAAGGGGTCATGCCATATAAATAAAACCATTTGGCCGTTGGGGAATTTGTCATTTTCATTTGTCTGAGCACTGCAGAACTTAGGAGTTTAGTAGATGATGAATACAAACAACAATTTTATTATGTAAGATGTGGACATTTTTGTGGTGGTATATCCAATGTTCTTTTAAGGTTTTTTTCATTGTGATACAAGGTACGTGTAAAAGTTATAGTGTAAAATCATTCCTTTAGCATGGCAAATTATTCTGACAGAGAGGTAATTAGCCACGTTCTTGTGAAATCAGGCAAAAGGCAAGGTAGAGTTGCATCTTACAGGCATACTCAGAGATGTATAGCATAAACTTTCATAAGCATAGGGCTTACTCCATCAGATTCTGGCATCATCACCATTTACTACTAAAGAAAATGAAATTCAGTACTATAATATGTCATTCCATACAAGAAATAGTAGTACAAGAAACATTTAACTTTATCCACATAATGTTTTCCTTGTATAGTAAAGAAATCAAAATCTTTCTCTTATTTTGTATCCACCAAAAAAAAAAAAATTCATGTTGTGTGCTGGCAGCCTCAACACAGTAAGCTATCTAAATGCCTGAGAACACAAATATGTGTGTTCATAGCAAAGGAATGCTTTAATAAACAGTAAGTTAGTTTTTTGGTCCTTTGATAACAGATGCGGCAAGTCGTATGGGATTTTCAGATCCACACTTTCGTTCAGTAAACAGTGCACTAAAGTAGCTAATTAACTTATTTTCATACCACAGGCTGGGCTTGACTGTGACAGTAAAAGTAGTACAAAAAAAAAGCCCCCAGGCAAAATATATCAATTAAGACAACTTGTATATTTACAGGATTATTTTAGCAGTGCTAAATCTTAACATGATTTGTGTAGAGTTCTCTTTCATGAAAGAAGAGATATGAATAATTTGATAGAGAAAATTATTGACTAGTATTATCTTCATTTACATAGGATGATGACAGACCTATGATTGATGTCATGGATCAATTAAGTTCTTCTATTCTTGAAAGTTTTATTCATGTGGTAGTTTCAGATTCTGTAAGTACCTATTTATTATTACTGGCTGCTAATTGTTCGCAAGGTATAAGTGCTGAACAAATACAATGCGATATATTCTGAGAAAGCTATTGGAAATGCAAAGAAAACCCCTGGGCCACTTCTTAGAGATAAAGAGAAGACATGATTGTCTTAAAACTATAGTTATGCTCAAAACATTTGAATACCTCAGGTTATGCATTTTCATGTGTTTGGCCTCTGTGTATGCATAGTCACTACTAAAATGATAATTTTTGGTTTAATGATAATTTCTGTAATAATAGCTCAGCTTGCCACCAGTTATAAAATGGAATTTAGGCTACAAATGGGCTTTGCTTTTTCCTAGGAGAAAATATTTTCTCTTAGGACAAAGCATGATCATTCAAACTTTCATATCTGTTGTCCTGGGACAAATTCTAAAATGGTTCACAGGAGAAGAAGTGCTAACCGTTTGTCCCAGGACATCACAAAGTGCATCGGAACAGTTGTCCTAGGACTGCATTACTGAAGAGACAATGCATTTAGCTGCTCACTAAACCCTGATTGGAAGGGTAGTGTGTGCATATGCCAATTCCAGGACTTTTCTGTTCCAGGTCAAACATAGGCACAACTGGTCCTGAGACAAATGCCGTTCCTAGCCTTAGAGGCAAATACTCAGGCAGTGTAAATTGTCATTGACCTTTCAAATCAATGGAGTTCTGATACCTTAAACCAGCCAGCAATCTGCCTCTCACTGTCTGTCTGCCTTTAGTAGATGTCAGCAATAGCACTACCTTTTTTTTATCCTAGCAGCCATCAACTATGTACCAGGATACAGTAGCAGCTTGCATATGCCAAGTTCTGTCAACAGATGAAGGAAGGAACAGCATCTTCCCTATAGTACTTATAAAGTAGGACAGATGTAGGAAGGGACAGGATACAAGAAGCACCAAAGTGCTTGGAATTGTGATTGGCACAAACTACCTGAGCCTGGGTGCGGGTGTTTTCTTTAAGTGTAAATTTTTCAAAATCACTTGGATAGATAAGCACAGAAATCCCAAAATTAAAAATTCTTATTTCATAAAATCATAGAAATCATAGAAAGTTACAGTTGGAAGGGACCTCAGGAAGCCATCTAGTCCAAGCCCCTGCTCAAAGCAGGACCAGCCCCAACTAGATCATCCCAGTCAAAGCTTTGTCTTTCCAGCTCTTAAAAACCTCCAAGGATGGAGATTCCACCACCTCTCTGGGTAACCTGTTCCAGTGTTTTACTACCCTCCTAGTGAAAAAAATCTTCCTAATATCTAACCTAAACTTCCCTTGCTGCAACTTGAGATCATTACTCCTTGTTCTGCCATCTGCCACCACTGAAAACAGCCTAGCTCCATCTTCTTTCAAACCCCGCTTCAGGTAGTTGAAGGCTGCTATTAAATCTCCTATCAGGCTTCTCTTCTCTAGACTAAATAACTGTACACACATATTCTGTTGGGCACTCTGGGATGTGAAACTAATATTTTTGGAAAAATGGTGTCCATTGATGGCCTCCGTGCCCTCTTGTGCTCTGTAGTGGGGTGCATAAAGGGTGGGTTAGCACAGTTGTTTCTCCAGTTGTTTTTTACTGCTCATAACTGTAAGGCAATCCCTGCAAGGTCCATGTCTCTAGGCACTGTGCAGTTTGTTTTTTCTGGTCTGGCTAGTTCTAATTTATAGTTATTGCTGTCAAAAATAGTAGTGATCAAAGATCCTCCTGAGTCTATATGACTCATGGGGCTATCATGGTTAAGGTATGCCAGTTTCTACTGCTAGTATCACTTCTGACTACCTTTGATTCCCCATCCTGAATGAGATGGGTCACTAGAGTTGGCAGGGCCAGTAACAATGAGACAGTATTGGTCAGCATGATAGACAGTAGTCAGGAAATAGTAGTAGCCCATTATTTTGTTGACTTTTCAGCAATGAAGAGTTTTAAGGAAGGAATTGAAGGAAGATAAGAGTTGCAAGAAGGTGAGAGAACTATGTGAAGATAGCCTTCTGAGGAGTTCCTCCCAAGCATGAAGTGTAGCTGGGGAGAAAGTACAGACATGCTGGTCAGAAAATATCACAAGTGGGTGATGAAGGCTGACACTGTGGGTCAGGCGTCAGTCTCTCAGTAGTGAACAAGAGATGCTAGGTTGGTTGGTAATAGGCTGTGAGGACTTTGAAAATAAGGACAAGAATTGGAATCCATACACATGGAAATAAATAATTATCACTGTGATTTTGAAATTTCTCTCTCCACAGACTGCAATACCATTAACACACAACGTGGATCTGCAGTGGCTGGTAGAGTGGAATGCAGTCCTAGTAAACAGCCATTATGACGTAAAAAGCCCTTCCCATGTTTGGATATTTGCACAGTCCGTGAAAGATCCATGGGTTCTCTGCCTCTTCAGTTTTCTTAGACAAGAGAATTTACCAAAGCATTGTCCTACAGCTCTCAGCTATGCTTGGCCATATGCTTTTACTCGGCTACAGCTGATAATGCCTCTTGTGGATCCAAAGTAAGTGCTACGCTGTACATAAGCTTCGCTTTTAAAGGCTTGGGTTGTAATAGAAGTTCTGTAGCCCAATTTTAATATAAGTTCCTCAGTACAACAAATTGGTTATAAGAATTTTTAGTAGTGGGTTTGATTATCATAGCTTTCAACTGTAGTGATACTTATTCTTACCAACTGCATTGATTTTTGTACTGTATAATATCAAATGGTAAAACCGAGGTTACACAGCATTCATTGCTTTTTTATTATTATACAGAAGCCCCATAATTCCAATATAAAACAGCAATTTTTAAAAATTTATTACTGATTTTATCAACCCTTTTTAATTTCAGTATCCCTATAAATGCAAAAAAAACAAGCACGGCTAGCAGTGGAGACAACTATGTAACTCTGTGGAGAAACTATCTTATACTCTGTTTTGGAGTGGCAAAACCCAGTATTATGAGCCCTGGACACTTGCGTGCCTCAACTCCAGAGATCATGGCTACCACTCCAGATGGTACAGTGAACTATGATAACAAGGTAACATGACATGCTTGAGAAGAAGTATTCTGTAATTATTTAAAATAAGTTTTAAACAGCATTTGCATGTGAAATCCAATAGTAGTGATAAAAGTGTCCCAGCTAGAAGAATATTTTGATATATATGACTTTTTTTAAAGGATTCTTAGTAATTACTGAAAACTGTCAACTTCATAGCATAATGTGCATCATTAAACATTTGGTAATTTCAGTGGAATTTGGACCACATTACTGTTTTATATTGGTAGTTTACATTCTAAATTGTGTATATTCAGTACAGAAATGCTATGCTGAATGTGCACTTACTCTGGTAAGGGACTGTTATAACACATACATAACTAATAAGACATGATGGACAGTGCATTTCTGTGACTTAATGTCATGTCTAGAATGGGAATCTGAAATCCAAGGCCAAGAGGGGTAGCAGCTTAAGAAATTCAGTCATTTCCATTGAATAGAGTGTTTTGCTGAAGTTAGAAATTCAGTGAATTATATGAAGTAATTACCTTTCAAAAATAAAGAAAACCTTTTGCATGATGGGGATATGATGTGGCAGACATCCAGCCAGAATGCTACATAGCATCATACTTGCACATAACTGCTACCTAGCCACAGATAGGTATAAGGATAATATACAACAGAAGTATAACTAGCTATTTTGGCACCCTGGACAGAGATGCCACAGAGGGGCAGTGGGGGTTGCCAAGCTGCTGCTGCCGCTACCCAGGCTCCCCACACTCTAGCTACTGTTGCCGCCACGAGTTCTTTGCGCGCACACAGTCTGTTGCTGTCAACGTACACTGGGAGATGCCATGCTGATACTCCCTCTAAATCATCACTCATGGATGGTACCTGCTTGCGCCACCCTGTTTACAGTACTGATACACAAATGCCCTTTTTCTCTTAAATTATTACCAGCAAGGCAGGAAGGGAGCAGTGAAACACTCGTCAATGCTTTGATAGCTGCACTTATTGTTTTCAGTATGGGTAATGCTAACAGTAAATTCTAGTGATATCTTAATGTATTTTAGGCTATTGGAACCCCATCTGTTGGTGTCCTGTTAAAGCAGCTAGTGCCTTTAATGAGACTTGAAAGCATAGAAATCACAGAATCACTTGTATTGGGATTTGGAAGAACAAATTCTCTTGTTTTCAGGTACTGCCCAGGTTTCTGTAAAATCTCAGCTACTTGCCTTTCTTTCAAATGCTTTTCTTTTAATATAAATTTATTTGGGGTTTTTATTATTATTTCAAAATATGACTGTTTATATAGTAAGTATGATGCTGATTCTTGTTGGAGGGAGAGAGACCAGTAAAGAAAAAAGAAGCGCTGAGTTAGTAGTATATGTTTGGTATATGGGTATTGACTGGCAGTTCTGGTTGAATGGCAGTTAAAGCTTTTCCCAGTAAGTGAGTATTTCATAAAGACTAAAAGGTTTTCCAATTTACCTGTGCTACATTTAATCTACACTACCATTATGTTAGCACTTTCTTCCACTTCCATGGTACAGCAAGTGCTGCCCAACTGTAATTGCAGGCAGGGGCAAAATGGAAGTCCTTGTCAGAGCCCTTCCTAAGATGTGCTCCAGTGGTTGGACATCAGGTTGCAGCAAGGGAAGTTTAGATTAGATACTAGGAAAAAACCTCTCTCATTAGGAGGATAATAAGGCACTGGAACAGGTTTCCCAGAAAGGTTGTGGAATCTCCATCCTTGGAGGTTTTTAAGAGACAGCTAGACAAAGCCTTGGCTGGGATGATCTAGTTGGGGATGGACCTGCTTTCAGCTGGAGATTGGACTAGATGCCCTCCTGAAATCACTTAGAACCCTAATTTTCTAGGATTCTATGCTTTTATATGTGCCCAAAGAGGTAGATGAGAATGAACCTACTCCACAATGTCATAACAGCCTTATAAAGAGACTTAGTATAATACTCTTTCTCCCTTACAGGAAAAATTAAATTTATGAAAAAGCTTAATTATGAAGAACTGTATTTACACATTTATTTACTTATTTTTATTTAGGGAATTAGTAGAAGAACTTCATCCACTAATGAAAGAAGCCCTAGAAAGAAGACCAGAGGTTGGTGGAAGTAATGTGTACTTGCTGAAATAACAACATGAATTTAATGATTGTAAATATAATTCTTTGACAATACATGCTTTGACATAAAGGAGTACATGTGATTGGCTATAAGGTCCAACTGGACTTTTTAATTTAAAAAATCTTAAATAACTGTATAACAGCTATTTTAAGCAATATTTAAAACTGAATTTATTTTATAATTCAATACTTGTATAAATATACAGTATATAAAACTTTTTGGAAAAAATACAAGTTAAATACACGGAAGCTTTTCATTGTGAACTAGGAAACCCACTTACAATGATAATAAAAAAGAATCTTGTAACACAATTGGGCCACAACCATGTTTCACAACAGTATTTAAATATACTTTGTATGTATTGCATAAATAGGACTTTACCAAGGACTGTGGGTTGTCTTAAAGCCACATTGACTTGGTGATATTATATCAGTGTAGTTACTTCACTCTCAATGTACCAATTTAACTGTAGCAAACCAGATTCTGTCTGCACCTTCTTGTTATGGTACTTCCCTTTTTAACCATTTCATTCACATAGCTCTATAGGCATGTATACACTACACAGAGTAGCTCAGGTACCAGATGCAATATAGCTGCACTATCACAGTTATTATTCAGGAAGGCTAATTTCTTTTGATTATTTGCTAGAAGAAAGGTTTACTTATTGAGACCTAAGGCAGAGGTGTAAGTGGGTGCTTGAGGGCCCTGGCCAAGCAGCTACTCACAGGGTAGTGTCAGTGGTTGCACTGACGCTCCCATGGCAGTAGCAAAGCCAGCAATGCAACTGTTGCTCTTTTTGTGTCCCTCCTTCCCCACTAGAGTTAGTGCCTGAGGCTAGTGTTTCTGTTGTCCCCCTTTGGTATAGCGCTCAACTGAGATGCAAAGTAAATTGCTTTGAAAACAGACTTGATGTAGGTACAAGATGCTTAAAAGCTGAATTAACGTATTTATTTGACTCCAAGAAAACCCTGAATTTAAGAAGGCCCTTTGATAATTAGATTCTATACATGGAAAAATTTGTGCGCTATAATTTTCCATGTAAAGAATCTGATTATTGGACGGTTGTCTTAAATTTGTCCCCTGAACTGCTGCAGCAGGAAAAGCAGCGGTGGGGGACCACTGGTGGGGGAGGCAGTGGGGGGGACAGATGGTGGGAAGTCTGTAGGGGAGCAGGCAGTGGGGGAGGCAGTAGGGAGCAAGCAATGGGGTGCAGGCAATGGGGGAGATCAAGAAGCTTGACCCCTTCCCCTTGTCCCACCCCCCCCTTCCACTCCCCGCCCATTGCTTGTATTGCTCCAGCACCTTAGACTCCATCCCCACTCCAGCCCAGGACATGGCCTCCATTTTCCTAAGCAGGGACTTGAATAGTCACCCCCCCGCTGGGCCCCCCTTAGGCCCCAGGGGAGGCACACCTAGGCCAAGGGTTAGTGAGGAACTAGTTAGGGAACTTCTGGAGGGACTGGATGTATTCAAATCAGCTGGTCCGGATGATCTCCAGCCTAGAGTACTAAGGAAATTGGCTGAGGTCATTGCAGGACCCCTGGCACGGCTTTACAAGCACCGGTGGTGCTCTGGTGTGGTGCCAGAGGACTGGAAGAGGGCCAACATGGTTCCCATCTTCAAAAAGGGGAGGAAGGAAGACCCGGGAAACTATAGGCCAGTTAGTCTTACCTCAATCCTGGGCAAGCTTTTTGAGAAAATTATTCTGGCGCATATCCACGAGGGGCCAGCAGGGGAGATCATGCTTAGGGGCAACCAACATGGGTTCATTAGAGGCAGGTC